TTAGACAATGAAGTGCTACGAAATGTAGGTGGCAATTTTTATTGTATAATCGTTTTATAAACATTAAACGTATTATTTAAACATTGGTCGTTCACATTTCATTTCCTTGATGAACACTTTCAGCAACAAACAATGGTTTAAACATGTTAAATTATCAAAATTACCTAACAAACTGCTTTGCAGTAACACAGTGTTGGACTTCCATCTCCCACCTATCGTCTTCCAAACACGAGAACACGCCATAGAACACAATCATAAGTCCATAACCACAAGAGACACAAGTACTGTTCATTCTTTACGATGCTTGGTTGATTTCAGGAGTCATAATTACTGGACAGAATGTAGCAAAAACATGAGACGGAAATATGACAATAATATGCAATACACGAAATTGAACACTAATCCAATCTCTAACTAATATCTCGATACAGCCCAGGAATATACCACGCCATATACAAGCGTATATCTAAATTAAACAAAACTTAGCGAAGGTTGAGGTTTGATTTGGATGCTACAAGTCATCAGTCAGGAACGAAGAGTCGCGTAAGAACCCTTAGGCATGCGTATTTAGTCTTCGTAATCTGGTCGGTATGCATCGTAAAACGGGATGTAATTGGTTTGACACTGGTTTAACTGTCTCAAGCAGTGGACTCATAATCGGCTACAAAATATTTGCTGCCAGGAATATGAGAATCACTTATCCATACGTGTGCTATTCGCCATTTCCAAATTCCTCCTGAGCTAAGCTCGGAAGCTTATTTTATTTATGTTCATTGCTAACGTAATGTCCACTCTTAATCGAATGTGAACATGTAACTTGTTCTGACCAAATATTTTTAGGTCCTCCGGTGTCCTTTTGTCATTGTATGTCCCATACATTAGCTTGATGTGATATGCGTCTGTTGTAATGAAAAATGTGACCTCATTCTTACATGTTACATTTTTGTAAGTTGCGACGTTGTTCCACTCTCCAAGTTAATTCTTTGTGAGCAAAGAATTCGCCATTTCCAAATTCCTCCTGAGCTAAGCTTGGAAGCTTATTTTATTTATGTTCATTGCTAACGTAATGTCCACTCTTAATCGAATGTGAACATGTAACTTGTTCTGACCAAATATTTTTAGGCCTGCGTCCTCTCGGTAGTCCTCTCGGTAGTCCTTTTGTCATTGTATGTCCCATACATTAGCTTGATGTGATATGCGTCTGTTGTAATGAAAAATGTGACCTCATTCTTACATGTTACATTTTTGTAAGTTGCGACGTTGTTCCACTCTCAAGTTAATTTTTGTGAGCAAGATAGGGAAAGTATTGTCGTTTCGTTAAACTTTATCTTTTCCTTCTTTGAAGCAAGTGTTTCAAACTGATCATTGTTTTGTAGTAAAGCAGGCCAGACATAACCCCAGTTCCCAAGATAATCAGAGACTAACTTCCCAATGACTCTAGCTTATCTACGAATTGTGATCGACTGCGTGTGCAACACTTCAGAGCAAAGCTTCTTGATCGTAAGAGCTTTCTCTTTGGTGATTTTATCAGTCATTGTTATTAAGTTCAACACAAATCCTACAATGAATATTTTTGTTTGAGGGATAAATGCTGATTTGGCACGGTGAATGATGAATCCAAGCTCTGTTAATAACACCATTGTGGTAGTTGAGTTCTCCACGCACTCAGGAGCGTGGAGAAGTGGAGAGTGAAGTATGTTTTTTAGGGGAAGGCTACAGCGTCAAATTTGCCAAGGCTACAGCGGAAGGCTACAGCGTCAAATTTGTTGTAATGAAAAATGTGACCTCATTCTTACATGTTACATTTTTGTAAGTTGCGACGTTGTTCCACTCTCCAAGTTAATTTTTTGTGAGCAAGATAGGGAAAGTATTGTCGTTTCGTTAAACTTTATTTTTTCCTTCTTGTAATGAAAAATGTGACCTCATTCTTACATGTTACATTTTTGTAAGTTGCGACGTTGTTCCACTCTCCAAGTTAATTTTTTGTGAGCAAGATAGGGAAAGTATTGTCGTTTCGTTAAACTTTATTTTTTCCTTCTTTGAAGCAAGTGTTTCAAACTGATCATTGTTTTTGTAGTAAAGCAGGCCAGACATAACCCCAGTTCCCAAGATAATCAGAGACTAACTTCCCAATGACTCTAGCTTATCTACGAATTGTGATCGACTGCGTGTGCAACACTTCAGAGCAAAGCTTCTTGATCGTAAGAGCTTTCTCTTTGGTGATTTTATCAGTCATTGTTATTAAGTTCAACACAAATCCTACAATGAATATTTTTGTTTGAGGGATAAATGCTGATTTGGCACGGTGAATGATGAATCCAAGCTCTGTTAATAACACCATTGTGGTAGTTGAGTTCTCCACGCACTCAGGAGCGTGGAGAAGTGGAGAGTGAAGTATGTTTTTTAGGGGAAGGCTACAGCGTCAAATTTGCCAACAAAATGGGCGTGGCATAGTCTTGGTTTGAGCGTAGTTACTGAAAATATATTGAAATTTAAAAAAAATTTACTAGTAGATGATCAATTTTTGCGACAGAGCGATTAAGTATTGGGTTAAGTATGAGTCCGATTCGAGATTACGTTTAAAAAACATTGGTGAGATTTGCCGGTTGTATTCAATTGACATATCCATAATATAAGAAATGATAGTGGTATTTTTTGCCATACAGAAAAAATGGACAGATTTCCCTACTGAAAGTTTTCCACTCTTCTTTGTGAATATTTTATGTGAGCTTGGCACTATATAAGAACCAAAATTTTTACATTTTGCTTTATTTCTTTCCGCTGTCTGATTATTTCCTGTTTCTCGGTTGTCCTCCAAGTGAAAGTTTTTTTTTCCTTGAAAATACGCCCTGATTATAGTTGTTTTTAACAGAGAACCTGGATGAATATGATCTTTTTCCAGCTATATAAGGGCTAGCAAACATCAAATTAAGTTTGCTTGTTTCTTTAGAATCTCGCATTCTATATCGTCTCCAAAAAGCAAATTGCTTGTGTTTTCAGTGTTATTACATGTGTTTGTCTAATAAGCTTTCGAAATTGGCTTTATACTGGTGCGCCGTACGCAAGATATAGCATTATACACATAGTCTAAAAGGCGACAGAATCTACACAATTCATGAGAAGAAGTTTGGTTTATGGTTCGTCTATTTTCAGCCTTTATTTTTAATTTTCAGGTTTACAAAAACAACATTTCACAAGATTTGTTGATTATTTGCCAAAGTAAGATCCACTTTCTGTGATGTTTTTTAAGTGATGACTATAAATCACAATTTACAGTGATTGGGGCTATATTTAGAGCAGTTTGCTAGATGTTTTGTACAAAGCGTTCTGGTCCAAGACTTTTCCTTATCCAACGTTAGTTTGCTATTTTTGCAAGTTGTCGTTGGTTTGCAGTACTAAGGCTGTTGTCTTGCTTAAAAGATTTTTGATAATTCTAATCTCTAGAAGCAGCTTCTGACAGTAAGATAAGACGTACGTTGTCCAAATTATATGATTGCTTGTTGAGCAGATAATTTATATCGTATACAGTATTTTGTGCATATAAACTTTATCTATCTTTCTTTTAAATTTCATGTAACCGTCATTTTTAACTTCGATTTCTTCGCTATCTGAGAAATCGGACCCATCAATATCTTGTTTTTCGGGTGAGAATTCTCTGCAATTTTGGCGGTGTTTATGGGTCCACGTGATCTTTTAAATTTGTCCTTTTAGACTGTTATATTATTTTGTTCAAATTAATCCTAAATTTTATGAGATGACCAGCCTTTTTGCTCGTGTTCTAGCTTTTTCTAATGCCATTTGGAGCGAGTTCTAAACACTGGAAGTATTTGCTGTGATAGTGAATCTTTATTTGGCTGAAACATGAGTGTCGAATGTCGAGAATGTAGATAGGTCATCCATTTTTTTAGCGAATTTACTCTCTCTAATTTGTTTCGTGAAGTCCAAGTTTTCCTGTATTGCCCTGTAAAAAAGCCCAGTTTCTGCCTATCTTGTCTGATTTGATAAAGTATTTCTCATGTGATGGTTAGGGATGCATTTCACATATTTGCTGAACACAAATTATTATTATATTGTAAAAGCTAATTTCTATTTACGTGAAACAATGAACACTAGAAAAGTGAAAACCAATTCTTGCAAAACAGTGAGGAGGAGAAAACAAAGTTTCGTCTTGTCACTAATAACTCAAAATTGTGATAAATCAGTGTCCTTAATGAAGCAAAAAGTTTTACGCAAAATATATTTGATGAGCAGATCAGCGTGAATTAAAACAATTGATCTTGACGCGGTCGAGGGATAAGGGAACCCAATTAGTACATTGTAATTGGTTCGTTTTATAATCAAACACACATGCATGAGTTGTATTTTACAAAATTGTTATATAATGTCAATTGCACATTGACATTCTGACATTTCAAAAGAATACCCCGGCTTAAAGAGGACATAAACACTTAGCAAGTAAAACTAAAAACAGACAGGACAAATAAAATTGCGGACATTATAAGTAAACAGGCCTTGACTTTGAGTTTATTTTTACAAACCCATCACCTCTGAAGGTGCACATGGCTAAATCAAAACAAAACAAAACAATAAAATAGTCGTTCACAATTAGGTAGTTTTTGTTGAGATATTCTTTATTTCTATACTTTAAATATGTCGTTATGCTCATATTTTCTTAACCTTAAGTAAACTTTCTTTAGGTGAAACATGAACGTAGATTCACACCAGGAGGTACAGACCATTCATCTCACAACTCACACAAAATTCTCTAATTGCAAATCATCAGACGATGAATCATCTGATAGAGTATTGTCCACTAGCAAATCATCAGATAGAGAATCCTCTTCTGGTAAATCATCTAATGGCGAATCTTCCACTGACCAATCACTAGATGGGAATTCTCCATTGAGGAATCATCAGATGGAGAATTCTCATATGGTGAATCATCAGATGTCAAATCCTCGTATGGGAGATTATCTGATTGTGAATCATCAGATGGTGAATCATTTGATTGTAAATCATTAGATGGTGAATCATCATATTGTGAATCATCAAATGGTGAAACATCAGATGGGGAAACATCAGATGGCGAATCATCCAATGGCGAATCATCAGATGGTGAATCATCAGATGGCGAATCATCAAATGGAGAATTCTCAGATGGCGAATTATCAGATAATGAATCCTCTTCTAGTAAATCATCAGATAGTGAATTCTCAGATGAAGAATTCTCAGATAGTAAATCCTCCAACATCGAATCATCTTATTATGAATATTCCTCCAGCGAATCATACGATGGAGAGTATTCGGGCTGCGAATCATCTGATGTTGCATCCTGTGAAAGCGAATCACCTTATAGTGAATTTTCTAATCGAGAATCATCAAGTAGTGTTTTCTCCGCTAGCAAATCATCAGCCAATAAAATCTCTACCATGAAATCATCTAACGACGAATCTTACGACAGCGAATCAACTAATGGTGAATTTTCCTGCAGCAAATCATATAATGAACAGTCCTCCTCCTACAATGAGTCATCTGATGGTGAATCCTTCATTGAGGAATCATCAGATGGCGAATCCTCAGATGGTGGATCATCTGCTTGTGAATCAGCAAATGGTGAATCATCATATTGTGAATCATCAAATAGTGAAACATTAGATGGCGAATCATCAGATGGCGAATCATCAGATGGCGAATCATCAGATGGCGAATCATCAGATGGTGAATTATCAGATGGCGAATCATCAAATGGAGAATTCTCAGATGGCGAAATATCAAATGATGAATCCTCTTCTAGAAAATCATCAGATAGTGAATTCTCAGATGGAAAATTATCAGATAGTAAATCCTCAACATCGAATCATCTTATTATGAATATTCCTCCAGCGAATCTTACGATGATATTCGAAGCTGCGAATCATCTGATGTGGCATCTGTGAAAGCGATATGCCATGGTGAATTTTCTAACCAAGAATAATCAAATAGTGTTTTCTCCGCTGGCAAATCATCAGCCAATGAAATCTCCATCATCAAATCATCTAACGACGAATCTTACGACAGCGAATCAACTAATGGTGAATTTTCCTGCAGCAAATCATATAATGAACAGTCCTCCTCCTACAATGAGTCATCTGATGGTGAATCCTTCATTGAGGAATCATCAGATGGCGAATCCTCAGATGGTGGATCATCTGCTTATGAATCAACAAATGGTGATATCATATTGTGAATCATCAATGGTAAACATTAGATGGCGAATCATCAGATGACGTCATCTGAATGGCGAATCATCAGATGGCGAATCATCAGATGTTGAATTATCAGATGGCGTCATCAAATGGAGAATTCTCAGATGGCAGAAAATATCAAATGATGAATCCTCTTCTAGAAAATCATCGATAGTGAATTCTCGATGGAAAATTATCAGATAGTAAATCCTCAACATCGAATCATCTTATTATGAATATTCCTCAGCGAATCTTACGATGGAAGTATTCGAGTACGGAAATCATCTGATGTGGCATCCTGTGAAAGCGAATCACCTTATGGTGAATTTTCTAACCAAGAATCATCAAATGATGTTTTTCTCCGCTGGCAAATCATCAGCCAATGAAATCTCCATCATCAAATCATCTAACGACGAATCTTACGACAGCGATCAACTAATGGTGAATTTTCCTAAAGCAAATCATATAATGAACAGTCCTCCTCCGACAATGAGTCATCTGATGGTGAATCCTCTTTACAGCGAATTATCAGATTGTGAATCTCTGCAAGTGAATCGATTGATTTCCCTCTCCGACCTCCTATTCAGGAGACTGGGAAGAGGGTGATGATTTGTTGGTGGGCTGTACCGATGAAATGAGGGAATACCTAATGAACTGTAAAATAAACTGAAATCAAGGTCGCTTATTTGGTCATGCAATGTAAACTTTTCTGGGTTCACTTACTGTAAGAACAAAAAGATTTTTACAAAATTAATAATAATTATGTTTTCATTTTACATGACACACGTGCACACTGCTTGAGCACCGTCAGTAAAATTGATGGATTACTTAAGTCTTTTATTTCTTTAGAAATCATTATGCTCTTTGAATATAGTTGTATACAAATATTTGTCTATTCTATCCATATAATTTTAGGAAAGTGTTTCCGTGTGACGTCAAAGCGCCATGTTGGTGGAGTGCATCATCGTGCCGATGTTCAACAAACGATAAAATTAACATAAATTCTTTCATTGGAGTGATTTTCCCCAAAGGTGTGATTGATGAAAACACTCTAATCTAATGATTTATCTTAAGTATTTTTGTATGTTTAGATTTATCTTAACTATTTTTCTATGAATATTGTTTTCCGATTTTCTCAGGGTAACAGCGAGGAAATAAAAATTGTTAAAAGAAAAAAAACAAATATAAGCTTTTAAAATTTGTCATGACTTTGTATGTTCAATTTACGCCACCTTTATGGTATGTTTTTAAAATGAATTTTTGCTCCGTTTTGTTAGCTTTGTAAAATATTGTGGCTTTTAGAAGAAATTTGTTGTACAAATGACTTTCGTCCTTAGAGTAGAAATGAACTAAATTTTCTTCTAAACTTTTGATAAGCAACTTAGCTAAGACATACGACTGAACAACTACTAGTTTGGCGAAAACTTCGCTGACAGAAAATTATCAACAGTGCATCATAGCCAGTTCTACTTCGATTGCCTAACCGGTGACTGGAAAAATGACGGATTTCTTTTAATTTGGTCTATTTTTGTGATGAATTGGGTTCACTACTGTATGAAGACAAACAAATACCTACAAACTTATTTTAAAAAGTTTCAAACATTTTTAAAAGAATACAAAATAAGCGAATATTCTCACATGCAAAATGCTTGCTCCATACACAGGCTGTGGCTATTTCGCTTGCAAGTAGAAGATCACCACTTTTCCCAAAAATAAGCTGAAGATCAACGAGTCTGTACTTAAAATCTCAAGTCGGTTTTGTTATTTGTCTTACAGATGCAAATTTAGATGAAGATTGTAATTTTGAAAGGCTTGAAATCAGTCTTTCTCTTGGTGTTTTTATGGATGATTTTTATCCATTAAAGACAGACATGATTTAGATCAGGAAACTTTGGGTAACTATATAATATACAATGCTCAAAATCTTTTTTCGTCTTTAGTTCTTAGTCTCACTGTGTGTCGTCTCTTTACTTCAGGAACGATTTACAAAGATGTAAGTAAAAAAGAATGCATTTCTAAATCCTCTTTGATGTTTTTATTTCTGAGAGAACGGATGTTTTGAAAAGTCAATTCAAAGAACTTTGTCTTTAAGCTCTTATCACGAGAGGTCAAATCCGTTTATTTTATAACGTTAATGTTCATTTGCAGGGCATCACGTTTCTTACTTATTTATCGATGTATTCAATAATGGTATTAAAACAATTACAAGAATATTATCAAAGATACCATAATATATGTCCATAAAAAAAACATAATAAAAAGTTAATGTTCATTTATCAATATCAGCTAAATTACATGGGTTTTGTTTAGATTAAGTCTTAAAGGGGAACTCCACCCAAAAATAATGTTGGTCTTAAAACTTTGTCTGTCCCGTGAAAATAAATATGCGGCAATTTTTTTGTTTGTTTGATTCAATATTTTCACAAAAAATGAGTTGAAATGCTGCAGCTAGGGCATCCGGTGCGTGGGAGCAGAAATATGTCAGCGCTTGTATTGACGTCATATCGTCAATTGCTCCTCAAAGCTTTATGTAAAGTCTTGCACAGTCATAATAAACTTGCGTCAAAATGCTTCTCCTAATCACAAAATGTTTCTTTTCGAAACGTCAAATTTTTATTCGTAGGTACATACACAAGCAACTTTATAGCTTACATACAAGTATTGAGCTGGTTATTTGTATTCTGTTTTAAAAGAACGGTTTCACATCCATAAAGGCCATTACGCACAGTTTCCGCACTTCATATAGAACTTGAATGTCGATTAATATTATTTTTAAAAATACGAAGGTTTCTTTGTGTGGAAACTGTGCGTAATGCCGTTTGCTTGTCCTCAATTCAACCTTAACAACAGTTTCCACTGATGTGAAACCAATCTATTGCCCTTAATAAACATTGAATAATAATAAACATGGTTGTGTAACTCATTACGGTTAGAAAATAATCCTACATAAAACCATTGTAAAATAGCCTTTCGTGTAGAATTAAGGTGTAGTTTCCTTGACGTAAAGTATGAACTTATAGTTTCCTAATTATTGTACATAATTGTATAATAATGGATTGCGAATACGGAGGAGAATCACCTCCTCTCCAATACTGTTACGTTTGCAGCGAGCACTTTGCTCCCGATTGTTTTGAATCGGACCTAAGACAGAAACTTACACCATGGCAACCTTTAAAAAGGCGACTGAAGCGGGATGCAGTACCATCGATCTTTTCATTTGGCCCTCAACCCAGTAAAAAACGTCTGTCTAGCGAGCATCGTACAGAGAAACGTCAGGCTGATCAAGACAAGGAGGAAGTTAGTAAAAGCATTTCTTGTTAAATTTTAATCAAGAAAAGTTATAGCCTAAATATATTCTAAATATTTCTATTTTTCTATTTTCAGCTTATATTTTAGAACAACGTTCCTCCACAAGTACAAATGTTTTCTCAGTGGTTGAGCCTGAAGCAAATAACAGTTGTGATTTGGGTGCGTCTGACAGTCCTGAAGCATTGCCAACTAATTATTGCAAGCCACAAACCAAAGATGCATCAACACAGTGTTCATTTGTTGTGAGGAGTTTACATGCCATGGAAGTCCAAACTACACTGTCGATGCTGAATATTGTGGATGCAGAGGTTGAAAAACAAACACCCTCATATTGATCACCAATATGATGTGTGGCATTTGTCAAATTGTCACAAAAAACTAACAAAGAAGGTTAACATTAAGGGAAATGATGACTTGATCCATTGGATTAAGTCCATTTCTAATCATCTTTGGTGGTGCTCTGCAAGTTGTAACAAGAATGCAGAAGAATTGGTGGAAAAATGGAAGTCTGTCCTTAACACATTTCCAACAAGCATTTCTGGAAGGGGAACACATATTTTCATCAATGTTGCCACCAACAATTAACAGAAAAAGAAACAAAGCAGAAGAAGTGGTTATCTCCTACTTCACAAGCATATATCGCTGCAGAGAAGGTGATATGTGACAAGAGGCTTCTAAAGACCTGCCCAAAGCGAGAGCAATTTTCATTCCTGGGATGGTAACCCGCACTCAGTTAGCAGCATTACAACAACAACAATATTAAACGTGATAAAGCAGTCATTAAGTCAGGGACAAACAAAGGGCAAGACCGTTACAAAATGTTTTTGCTAAAACACAGAAGCAATGGGTTGTAAAAGCAATGAAAAAAAAAGAGTACCAGTACATTGATAAACTACTTGCGGAGGTTGTGAATGCATGCAAAACTGAGGAGATTCAACTTGTACATCATGGCGAGAATCTTCCAAAGAACATTTCTAAATCATGTCCACCCAGGAAAGAAGTACTTGTAAAGGAACATCAGTCTAGATTTGCATAAAATTTCAGTGGTGATGTTAGCTATGGCAATAGGTTTTGCCATACCCATATAATATGACGTTGAATCAGTGAAGACAACTTTTGTACTACTTAAAAAATGTTCATTTTTAAATATTAACATAGCAAAGCCTTTTGCTATAGCTAGTTTCACCACTGCATTACACAAACTATTCATGTAATTAATTATAGTTATATTATAACCAGTGTAATAGCCAAGCCACATTTATAATCATTTCTTTGTAAATCTGTTTTTTGTAATAAATTAATAATAATAAATGTGCATAGCATGACCTATAAATGAGCTGGCTATGCCACTTTAATATTGACATACAAAGTAATTGTAATGGGTATACCTATATCATAATAAAATACTTCATTCATCAACATAGTGAAAGCCTTCAAATTGAAATTCCTCTGCAAGGCCAGGTGGAGGAAATGTTTCTCTAATGCAGTAACTGCACATGATGGCAAGATGACTCTCACTTCTCTACCCAAGACACCCCAGCACCATCTTGCCAACTGTCTATATGCAATATGGCAGTACAGTTTGTCCTCGGGCCCATCATATGCTACCTTATATTGCTGCTTGCATTGGTACCAAGCTGTTTGTAAACCCACCTGTTAAGACAAACAGGCTCAAAACCAGGATGTTGTGTAATGCACAAAGGCGGTGGTCTCATTCGTGTCTACTGCCTCTAAATTTTTGTCACAAATATTGGAAATCCCTTTGCAGCATAAACATTCATTATTATCCATTATTTGGCAGTTACCACATTGACACCTGAATATGTTAAAAGAAAGGATCTTGAAAAGTAAATGTCAAAACTTCAATAAAATTGTATCTTACAATAAAACTTTAAAATCTAAAGTATTATGTGTGTGTGACGTGGTCAACTTCAAAAACTGAAAACGTACTTTTGAGATAGAAACAATGGTCTAGAATAATATAACATTTTACTACCCACCATTCAAGATTGTCGCGCCGAGATTCATCGTCAATATACAAAAATTCCTGTTCTTCGTTATCCTCAAACTGGTGAGCTTCTTCGTGTTCATCAGCCGGCCATTCGGGCTCAAACTGATATGGCCGAATATTGTTTGATTGTCTTCCATTTCACTATCGATTGGTGAATTAGGCCGAGGTTCTTCCAAAAAGCCATTATAAGCGATTGTTTTGTTTTATGCTAGGCTGTGCGTTATTATTTTACTGTTGTAAACTCAACTCCAAATCGGTTTGACGTTATGACGTCAAAATAATTTCCGCTGACGCTTTCTGTGCCCACGCTGCTAAGCCTCAAAACAGCTCAAATAGCGCACTTGAAGACGCGATTTTGTCAAAAAAAAAATAGCTGATGTAAAAATTTCAAAAATATAGTAACCTTTGCATAAAAATGGAACTTTTAAGACCAACATCATTTTTGGGTGGAGTTCCCCTTTAAATATTGTATTAATGTGATATATTTGTTTGTTGAGGTCTGGTTTGAGTTTTTGAATGTATAGCGCTTCTTTCAGTTTAAGAGAAAAAGGAGAGTTGGCGGTGTCTAAGATGCGAAAACATGAATGGTTGTATTTTGATTTGCAATGTGGTGGTGTGAAGGTGTTTATAAATATGTGAGTTTTGTGGAATGTGTGTTCGTTGATGCGTGTGGAGATGGCGAGTTGTCTCACCAACGTAACGGAATTACATCCCGCACATGAAAATTCATAAACCACAAGATTTTAGTAAAGATGGAATACTGTTTTTAAAACTAAAAAGATTTTTTATTTTGTAGGATGAGAAGACCAATTTGATTTTTAAGTCAACACTTTAGTGATAAGTATGTCTAGGAAAGGCAATTTATTGTCGTGTTCTTTTTCTACTGTAAAGGTAATGTTTGTGTGTTGTAGGTTTAAATAATTAAGGAATAATGAGGCGTCGTTTTCGTTGTCAAATATACAAAAAATATCATCTACGTAGCGTCTGTAAAAAAGTACGTTTGATCCGTCGTAGTTAGTTAACCAATTCTTTTCATGATAGCTCATGAAGAGATTGGCAAGTACTGGTGCCAGTGGAGAACCCATTGCCACCCCGTCAGTCTGGTCATAAAAGTACTCGTTAAAGAAAGTGGGTTTGTGATGTAGCGATGTTGAACAATTGTTTTAAGTCATATCTGTTGATGTGAGTTGGGTTGTTGTGTAAATAATAAGTCGAGTGCGATGTCTATTGTTTCAGTTAGTGGAATGTTAGTAAAAGCCTCTTGACATCAAAGGAAACGATATATTTGCTGTTGATGTGTCTTGGTATTTCGTCGACGAAGGTGAAAAGAGTCTTTAGTGGTGTAATCGTTGGAAACTAAAGGGCTAGTAACGAGCATAAGTATTTCGATAGTTTGTAGTTGTAAGAGTTTATGGAAGAGACTATTGGTCTTAGTGGAGGTAGTGTGCTGTGGTCTACGTGTTTATGGAGTTTAGGGAGGCCAGACCGCTGGTTTGTGAGCCTGAAGGAAAGATCTTGGAATAGGTACTTTTGAGACTGACGGGGTGGCAATGGGTTCTCCACTGGCACAGTACTTGCCTCTCTTCTGGGCTATCATGAAAAGAATTGGTTAACTAACTACGACGGATCCGTACTTTTACAGACGTTACGTAGATGATATTTTTGTATATTTGACAACGAAACGACGCCTCATTATTCCTAATTATTTAAACCTACAACACACAAACATTACCTTTACAGTAGAAAAGAACACGACAATAAATTGCTTTCCTAGACATACTTATCACTAAAGACACAACTTCAGACAAATACATAACTTCCGTCTTTCACAAGAAAACTTACACTGGACTCTTAATGAACTTTTTAGTTTTTACACCGTAATTATAAAACAGGACTATAAAAAACTCTCCTTGAACGCATCCACAGAATCAACAATACAACAAACGGCTACGAAAGCATAAACACTTATCGAAACTTTAAAACGCAATTCCTTTCTGTCCACAGACAAAGTCATCCAATCATTCAACGACAAATACAATCAGACACACAAGCATCAGACGAACCTAACAAAACAAACAAAACATATACTATTTCAAACTTTACATTGGCTCATACTCACACACCACTCAACAAAACTACGGAAGTTAACAAAACGCTTCTGTGTTGACTTAAAAATCAAATTGGTCTTCTCATCCTACAAAATAAAATCTTTTAGTTTTAAAACAGTATTCCATCTTTACTAAAATCTTGCGTTTGAATTTTCATTGTGGATGTAATTCCCGTTACGTTGGTGAGACAACTCGCCATCTCTGCATCAAAGAACACACATTCCGACAAAACTCACATATTTATATACACCTTCACTTCACCATTGCAAATCAAAATACAACCATTCATGA